CCCAAACCACTTGTCGTTCGGCACCCTCGAAGTGTCCTCCACCACTATCAGGGCCTGCCACGGGAAGAGGCCGGGCTCAGCATTTCGGCCCCCGATGATCCTCTTGACCAGGCTTGGCAGAGAGCGGGAGGGCTGACCACACTCTGTAAGGAGAAAGAGGGAGCAGGGACAAGAGACAGAGACTGGTCAGGTCAGCCACATGACAGGAGCCATAAAGAGAAAGTCACATCTCACCCACTATAGATTACGCCACCATGGGACCCTAAACTGCCTGGGTCATGCTAGCCTGGGAGAGCTCTACTCAGGGTCACTGGAGGTCTAAGTCCCTCTAGGCTGGCCCATCTCTAGTCTGGCTCTTCTGAAGCTAGGGCCCTCTCTGGACTGAACCACCTCTGGCTAAGACCACTTGTGACCCGGACCATTTACACCATCTATTCCTAACAGTGGTCACTTCTCCCCTTCCTGCTTTAGAAAGGCAGGTCCCATTTCAGAAGTGCTCATGCTATGGGAACCTAGAGAATTTCTGAAACGTTTTTCTCTACGGGGACAGAGAGATGCAAGGAACCTAAAATACCAACTAGCAGGTCACAGCAAACCCTAGGCTGGGAACAAAGACGCTGGAAGCCTTAACCTGGCTTTTCCATTTCCCATGCGACTCTGAGTCAGTGAATTTCCATCTCTGGATTTCAATTTTTGATCTGTCAAATGAGGCATTTGGTCACAATGATCTCCAAAGATCCTTCAAATTCCAGGAACCCTTTAATTTTCATTTTATTTGTCTTGACCATCGCCATTTTCTGGGTGAGTAAACCTCCCCAGAGTTTAAGTGGCTAGTCCAAAGGGATATGACTCTCAAGTCAGACAGCAGGGGCTTAACTAGATTCTGAGTCTTGTATCCCACCCTGACTCAATAGCTATTAAAACCATGGACATAGGCTCTCAAGCCTTTTCTTCTCTGTCCTAAAAGAACCTTGCTATAAATTGATGTCCATGGATTAAGGCCCAGGGCATCCAAGGCTGGGGAAAGGTGGCATAATCTATAAGCAATGATGCATGGGCCGTGCTCTGGGCCACCCATCATTGCACCCAGGAGCTGTGTAGTACCTTTAGGGGAAGGAGAAAGATCTCAGAAACTTCATTCCACTGAGTTGCACCCTGAGCATGCCTTGTACCACCAGCTTCCTGCAGCCAAATGCTTCGGGCCCCTGAGCAGAAGGTCTTCGGCACCAGGCCCCCACTGGCTAAGAACATTCTTGCACAGCCTTTCCCAGGCAGGGTGCTTGGGTCTGGGAGGCAGACCTACTGTGAGTGTGGCCTCCTCCTGGTTGCAAATGGCCAGGCTACACTCCTTGGCCTGGAAGCTTTCGACAATCCTTTGGAGACCATGGAACATTGAGTTTTCTTGGCAACTTTGGAGAGCAGGCTTTTAGCAACCTAATGCTTTTCAGATGCTCTTCTTCCTGAGGCCAAATGCTTCTTGCGTGATCCTGGGCACCCTGCCATTCACCCCAGGCTGGATGTGAAATGGTTTTTGTAACTCTCTGTGGCCCGGCCTTTCAAAGTTGAGGGTCAGCCTTCCAATTACAAGTAGCAAGCTGCAAGGCAACATCTCAACGCAGTTCTGCAACTGGTCCTACATACATCTAGTGCTTCAAGGCCCTCATCCGGTAAGGGACACATCTGTGGTTGGTCCGTGGTCACAATAATGTCAGCACTAAATGGTACCTTTCTCCAAGCAAAGTGCCAGTGGCATATTGCAGGTCACACATCAGATCTGGAGAAACCTTGAACAGCTAATTTTTTTTTTTTTTTTTGAGATGGAGTCTTGCTTTGTCACCCAGGCTGGAGTGCAGTGGCATGATCTTGGCTCACTGCAACTTCCACCTCCTGTGTTTAAGCAATTCTCCTACCTCAGCCTACTGAGTAGCTGGGATTACAGGCACACACCACTACGCCCAGCTAATTTTTGTATTTTTAGTGGAGACAGGGTTTCGCCATGTTGGTCAGGCTGGTCTCGAACTCCTGACCTCATGATCTGCCTGCCTCTGCCTCCCACAGTGCTGGGATTACAAGTGTGAGCCACCACACCAGGATGAGAACAGCTATTTTAGAGATGGAAGTGTGGAAGTTGAGAGAAGGCAAATGACTTAATCAAAGTTGTTAGTGGGAAAGCCAGAACTAGAACTTGTTTCTCCTGAGTCTAGCTTCATAGATCCACTGAAATCTGTTTTTCTCCTGGATGTGTTCTTGTCTTTTTAAGAGGTTGAATGAGGCAACAAACTCTTGGGAGAGCTCATTGAAATGGGGTCATTCTTATTGGTTGCTGCCATTTCCCACCCAGTCTTTCCTGGGACAAAGGAATCTTCTTGAAATGTTATAGCCTTGGCTATGCTGAAGCCAGGTTTGGGTTCTAGAGGACAATGGTTCCTGAGGGAAGGTCTTTAAAATGAAAATGTGATAATCTAGGGTTCAAAGTTCCTGAGGATGGCGTAAAACATGATCATGGTAAAATAATGGCTTGGCATTGCTTATGTTGCCATCAAAAGTATTGAGTTCACCTTTCAGCTCTGCCTCTAACTTTCTACAAGTATCCTTGTGCAAATCACTACACTATTCTGATACTTAGTTTTCTCATTTGTAAAATAAGGGGACAAGTAATATTTGCTTAGCAGGCCTCCTAACATGGCGGGCCTTATGACAATAGATGACATGGCTTTCTCCATCCTGGCCTGCATCCTGGTTTAATCACAAGTGTTTTACGAGGAGAGAATTTAGAAATTTCTGGCCTGGTCCAATGATACACCATGGTTCTGCCCGACAATGGGTGCTAAAAGAATTTCATGACTCATTGTATCCAAGATGCTTTGTACAAACGTAGAGGATGATGACCATTAAGAGTCATAGACTGTCATAGGTCTCTTGGTCCTGATGCTTTACTTCTGAGGTATAGGATCCCAGACCCAGAGATGTGAAATTACTTACCAAAGATCACAGGAAATGGCAGCATCAGGATTAGTACCCAGGGCCCCGACTCCTTGCCCAGTGTCTTGTCCCCTTCCAAAGGTTGTGACATGAATTTCCAGCATGCAACCTATCCCTAGCTTTCTTTGGCTCACATAATATTTTAGCAAAAATGGGCCATGGATTAATAATCCATGCCCAGATCCTTCGGTTTGCTGCAGCTCCACCATTCCTCTCTTCTCTGAGGCTTCACTGCCCGGAGCCCGTGGGTGTGCTTCTGGGCAGGCCTAATTGAGGTAAGTGGAATCAGCAGAATGGGTGGGATGAACATTCCCTTATGCCACTTCCTCATAAGTTTTTCTAAGAAATGAAGACCTCTTATGTGAAGGCTTCCTAGTCAGTTCCTACCCCTCCAGTCATAGACAACCAGGCTTTGTTACTTTCTTCTTCTCTGGGGTCCCATAGCACCTGTGACGGTCAAAACCTGACTCCCAAATGCTAATATGTTCTTCACTTCTTAAGGATGAATGGTAGACAACGCCTTAGCCTTTCCATTTTAATGTCTAGTCTGATATCTAGAAGCCTACTGATATGGTTTGGCGATGTCCCAAACGGGCTATGTCTCATTTCTCTCTTGCCTGCTACCACGTAAGATGTGCCTTTTGCCTTCTGCCATGATTGTGAGGCCTCCCCAGCCATGTGGAGCTGTGAGTCCATTAAACCTTTTTTCTGTATAAATTACCCAGTCTTGGATATGTCTTTATCAGCAGTGTGAGAACAGACTAATATACCTACTGAGTGAACATGGAAGGTTACTGAAATGTACCATTAATATAATAATACACTATGTCAGTTTACCCAACACTCTCATTCAGTAAAATACAAATATTTCCCAGTGCTTAACTATATTGCTGATTTCCTGCTGTTTGTACAAACATGCAGATGGAATTAGACAGGACACTTAATTTTCAGTATTCCTCAATGCTTTCTTGAATGACTGTATCATTAAACTACTGCCATTCTGCTTTTTCTTTTCTTTTTTTTAAAAAGGTATAAATTACTATGTTGTAAATATTAAATTTATTTTTTTGTGGATTATTTGTTGAACCCTAGAATGTGCATTTTGGGGCTGTACTTTTCTAAGATGGCTTGAGTAGCTACACAGTGTGATTGCAATGAAAATTATCCATACTATTTATTTATTGAGATGGAATCTCGCTCTGTCACCCAGGCTGGAGTGCAATGGTGCAATCTCAGCTCACTGCAGCCTCCGCTTCCTGTGTTCAAGTGATTCTCCTGTTTCAGCCTCCGAAGTAGCTGGGATTACAAGCATGCGCCACCACGCCTGGCTAATTTTTGTATTTTTAGTAGAGATGGGGTTTCACCATGTTGACCAGGCTGGTCTCTAACTCCTGACCTCAGATGATCCACCCGCCTTGGCCTCCCAAAGTGTTGGGATTACAGGCATGAGCCACCATGCCCAGCCCATACTTCTAATGCTAAAGCAAATGTCCCCAAAATCTGTATGCGCAGTGACAGTTCCTGTTACCACAAAATTTTCTTTCCATTTTAAAGTGGAGTTAGTAAGTAAACCACGGGAAAGGCAGCAATCAGAAAGGCTTGACCACATTGCTGTTTGGAAGAAAGAATTTCTCATTCTGTCCTATTGTGATGTTGTTTGTCTTATCATCTCCTTGATGGCATGGTGACTGCTTGAGGACAGGGTGCCCACTTTTTAAATTTCCCTCGCATGACAGCAGGCACACACACAAACTGTGTTATATGAAAAAGCTGGTGTCAAGGGCACAGAGAGAGGACAGGAGGGCTCTTGGAGTGTTGAAGGAGGCAGAATATACAGGCTGGTTTGAGAAGGTGTGAAGCAGGGCTTCTCTGACCTTTCACCTTTTGAAGACATCTCTTAAAAAGCAACCAAAGCATCACCTCCCCTTTCCCCCATCTCCCTATTAACAGCCAGAAAACCTGGGGCCCTAGGACCTTGATGGAAAACCTTGAGGCAAAGGATTTGGAGAGTGAGGTACCTGGAAGGCAGGTGGGCAGGCTTCTCCCCAGCACTTTATTCATCCAGACTCCTTGGGCAGAACAGGTATATATACCTGGATTAGCGAAAGAGGTTAGGAGAAGAGGGAGAAAATGGTTGATTTGTAGCTCATGGAAAATGGATCTGGGTACTTAATTTCTCTAAAGTGAGTTATTACAAAAGTCTTCTAAATGGTCACGTAGGCTCAGATACGATTTTCTGAGCCTAGATGTACTAAAAAGAATGAGGAAGAAAGTGGAAGGCTGTGGCAGGTAGTCTCCGGGATATAATCCTCCAAAGAGACCAATCGACCTCCAAATAGCCTTCAAATACCCCTGGGGCTATCATCCTAGTCCCTCTATCAAACTCCAGTGCAACCTGAAGGGTCTTTCTAAAATGGGAATCTGACCATGTCCTTTCTCATCTCAGAATCACTAATGGCTTGCTGTCACCCTCAAAAATAAGCACCACAATCTTCAGCATGGTCCAAAGCTCTGGGGAATCCCACTGCTGCCTGGCTGAGGGCTGCTCTCCTCCCCACCCCATGCTGCCCAGCCCCTGGCAGTCACCTTCCCCTCACTTGTCACAAAGACCTGGGCTTACATGGCTCTCTGTTGGACAGATGCCCTTTGCTTTCTTCTCCATTTGACAGACTTTAATAAGCCACATTTGTGGCCACTGTCTCATTGGAGTCTCACAATAGCTCTAAGAGCTTCATCACTGTTCCCTCTTTTAAAAATGAGGACTTGGGGCCAGGCACAGTGGCTCACACCTGTAATCCCAGCACTTTGGGAGGCCAAGGTGGGTGGATCACAATGTCAGGAGTTCAAGACTAGCCTGGCCAACATGGTGAAATCCTGTCTCTACTAAAAATACAAAAATTAGCTGGGTGTAGTGGCAAGCACCTGTAATCCCAGTTACTTTGGAGGCTGAGGCAGGAGAATTGCTTGAACCCAGGAGGCGGAGGTTGCAGTGAGCTGAGATCGTGTCACTGTACTCCAGCCTGGGTAACAGAATGAGACTCTGTCTCAAAAACAAAAACAAAGAGAACTTGGAGGCTTAGATGAGTCAGGAGAATGTTCTCAGTGCTTGCATGCCAGAGAGGCAGAGCCGACGGGCCTTCCTTTCTCGCTGAGAGTTCCTTTTCTGCTAGGGATTATGAGTGTGTGTTGAGGGGGTGTTGGGCTGCCACAAGGCAGGGAAGAGGCGTTTCATGTCTCTAAGCTCTTCTCCTCCCATTTCCACCCAACCCCCCCAGTGTGGCCAATGGACAGGTAATTGCTGGTTCTTCACGCTTTGGCCAGTATGCTGCTGCCCAGCCGCTGGGGCAGCCAGGGGTCTCCCTGCCAGGTGGCATGGATGAGGCCTGGACAGAGACTGCGGTGGCTGCGCTTGAACTATGGTCAGGGCATATGCTGGGCGACCTGGGGAGGCAGAGGATCTGCGTCTCACTCCCCAACCCTGCATGGACCCTGTCCTTCTCAGGGAAACAGGTCTTTGAAGGAAGGACCCCTACCTGCTGAATGGGTCTGGCCTGGTGAGATGTTACCCTCACCCAGAAGCCAAGGCAGATACTGGGTGAAGTAGCAATACTGGCCATTTATTAGAAACCCCGGCTCAGCCTCAGACCACAGGAAGGAGTTTAACTTGGGAGATTCCAAGCTTCCTTTAGAGTCTTGTATCTTCCCTTAGTTGTGTGAATTTGTGATTCCTTCATGCTCCCACCAACAACTCATTAGTAAATCAATGCTGGATTTAAAGTTAAAACAAACAAACAAAAGCCTAGGTTTTGGTCTTGAGACTGTTTCTGCCTCTCTATATGGATACGGTAACACAAGCTCATGGAAAGTGAGAACCTGATGAGAAGATGCGTGAGTGACACGTTTCACCTTATCAGGCTCTACACGTGCATGAGCAGTGATTCCTTTCAGAGCTATCTCAGCCCCCAGCCCAACCATGAGTTCCCGAGAGTGTGAGATGGATGTAGGATGGCTTAGCATGGAGGGCTTACCTGTGATATTGTTGAGCATCTTGTAATAAGGCTCCTGGCAGGAGTATTTGATCTCAGACTTGTATGTGGTGAGGTTGTTCCTTGTGGAGAAGGTGACCAGCCCGTGTTCCAGCTCCCCCGGGGTTCTACAGTCTACAACTGAGAGAGAAGAAGTGAGATCCCTCAACTGCTTTTTGCTCATCCTCTTTTGGATGGATCCTTTTATCTGATGGATCAGTCTCATGCAAATGTACAGATTGTGTATTGCACACAATTCCAGAAAGCAAGATTATAACGCCTCTGAGTGGTGCCCCTGGGATGTGCGGTGTACAACCCGTGAATCTACCAGTGGTCCTGCTTTTGCAGTCTCTCCCATACATTATGGTACTACTGTGTGGTCAACTTACCTGGCCAGTGTCCATTTTGGGTAGGGGAAGATCTATGGAGATATAAGCAGACTCTGGTCTCTTCCCCACCAGGGCCCCTTTCTTTGACTTCTAGTTTTATTGGGCAATCCTCTCTGCCTCTTGTGCCCTAGCATGAAACCCTTGGCTTAGTGAGAAAATTCTAGTTGACATAAACCAAATAATCTTTTGTTCTTCTTGTCCCAACCACAGGCTGAGGGCAGCTAATGCGCCCGCATTAGAGTTTGGCACAAAAAAACAAAAAACCCAGCTCCTGTATGAGTACACAGCCCCAACCTGCTGCCTCTCTATAGGCAGCTTGCTTGGCCATAGAAGACAGGAGGCAGGGTTAGAGGCAGATCAGCTTTCAGTCTTCCCCTGTTTATTTTCTGTAATGAAATGTTGATGGCTGGGCATTGGAGCTGGCTGAAGTCCTAGTACAGGACATGACTAAAGATGCCTGTTCCTCAGAGGTGGTTTTTGGGGAGCTTTCCAGTCCAGCTCAGTATTAGGGGAGTCATAGCTCTGATGGAGTCCAGTGTGAGTCAGCTGACAGTCGGCACCTTTTCACGGCCACATCAGAGGCTCTGGACCCAAATTTGTTAATATTTTCATTCCTAAGGAAATCCTAATCGTAGGTATAACAGCAACTCCAGAGTTGAAGAATCATAGACGAATCACAGAATTTCACTGCTGGAAAGAAACCTGAAGTAGGCAATCTAGAATGTCCTCTTTAATTTTATCTATGAGTCTGCAGAGGAGACTTGACTCGTATAAGGTCATATAGCAAATCACTGCCACAGTGTGAGAGCTAGATTTGACCTCAAATCCAGTGCTGTTTTAGTAAATGGAACTAATAGTGCCTAAGGGTCTGTTTTCCAGTTAAATGACCTGTTCTAGATATTAGCTGGCTAATGGTGGACATCAATTGTCAGAATTTCCAGAGCCTTGGTAAAATTTCCAAAGTTCCATACCCTCCTGAATTTTACCTGGTCATTTTGGGAAATAGTGAGGGATAATTTACCTCTGGGTGGTATTTAGACATTGTGATTTTAACTTTAGGACTCCAGATTCATCTCTTTTGGATTAGAGAGTCCATTCAAAACATAAATAATTCCAAGGCCCTCCAGGTTGGAGGAAAATATGAAGGAAGGGCATAAATGTAGGTAAATTTTATCCACAAGGAAGGCAAGCCAAGACAACTGGTTTTGCCCTGGCTTGCAATCCAGTCACGCCGGACAAATCATCTCCATTTGTTTTGATCATCCAAAAGTAGAGACGCCCTTCTACTCTGTGAGGTAACTGTTTGCAGCTCAACACTAGGATAATGAGGCAATCATATTTATTATGTAAATACTATAAACAGTTTTCAATTTATTTTCTGCTAAAGCAGACTTTGCCTCTGTTTTTAGAAAATGCCATTGACCTGGTACCTAGGTATTGGTTTTACTCATCTCCCTTAACTTTGCTCCAGCAGCTCATCTTGTCAAAGTGGTCTCAGGACCTGACCACCTAGTTCGGGAATTCCAGGGTTGAACTTAGGGTGGCTAGATGGTCGGGCCCCTAGGAGCCTGTTATGTGGCTGACGCTGGGGGACAGATATTTTCTGGGTGGAGGACCTACTTTCACGTCACTTCAGAGAAGCAACTTTGCCCACTGATACAGCTGGCCCGACAACTAGGTAGAGAGGTGATAAATAGTGGCGCATAGAGGGTTGTGTCAGTGTGGAGGGCTGCATTTCTTCCCAAGTCCACAGTGGCAGGGAAAAAGCCTTGTCTCTCCGGGACCTGGAAGTGACTTCCCCTTGAGCAGCTCTGGCTGGCAAAATCAGGACATACTAGACCCTGCTTCCTCCGCTGGTCATGTTCTTTGCTTTAGGAAGGGTTTTATCCTTTTCTCTAAAGTTCTCTCTGGCCAATTCCACACTCTGGAATCAAAACACCCTTCTCTTTCCCGTGGTCTTGGCGGTACCACCCGACACCCCATCTCCATGGTAATTACTAGTTGACACTTATTTTCCTCCAGACACACCTTTCTTGACCTGCAGTTCCAAGTGTGACATGCTGTACTGGGGGGCTTCCTAGAGAATGATGCACAGTCAGCTAACCCTGGCACTCAGGCCTGGGGGGCTGGGCTCTAGCGCCCTTCCTGGCCTCATCTTCTTTTCTCCCCTTGGTGCACCTACCCTCCAAACACCAGCTCCTTCAGTGTGCCCCCCTGCTGCCTCCTGCTCTCAAGAGGAGGCTGGTGTCATCCCTGCTGCCTGGGGCACCCTGTGTCCATGCTCTGGCCACCCTGGAGGCCTTGATGAAACACTCCTTCCTCTTGAAAGCCTTTCTAATGCTCACTGGGCAGGGCTGCTTCCTTGTTCTGGAACTCTTCACTAATGTTTCTTTGATGGCATGTATGTCATGCTGCCCGCATCAAAGCTATGACAATTATTTGGATATATATCAAAGCTTCCTCTTAAATTCTGACTCCCTGTATGGTACTGTGATGGCTGTTAATACTTTGTAGGTTTAAAGACATTTATTCAGCTGACGCTTGCCTTTAGCAGACAGTCCATCTCTTCTTTCGGTGGTGCCTCTAGCCAAGAATGGCACCTCAGGCTCCAGACTGCCCAGGGTTGTGCCCTCACCACATAGCCATTTAATCACCAAATAGATCGGGCAGTCCATTTAATGCAAAGGTTCTCTGACATGTGTGTCCAGATGTTCAGATGGAAGCAGACATTCCTGCTGCCACTCCCCAGCCCTTTCTCTATCACTGGTTAAGACCTGTGATATCCCATGGCACAGAGTTGGGACCACTGTTTTCAAGTGTGATACCTATCTTTTTAAAATTTTTAATTGGCAAATTTTAAGAAACATAGAACTTGTAAGCCCCAGAGGAAAGAAGTTCTAATGATGACATTTCAGCCCCACACTAGGTAGGGGTAAAAGGGATACTTTCGTGAATGAGAAAACATTCAGATCCTCAAAAATCCACACTATGTGAGTTATTATTTGCTTTACCTACTAATGGTGGCTAAGAAAATAGCAACAGGTGACACTTTCAGATTCATAAAGTCACAGACAGTCCGGCTCATTTAAACTTGAAATGTAGAATGGATTAGAAACCACTCTGATCTGGTCAGCCTGAGGCCACATGATTTTATATTAAATCTTGTGTCTCTAGGACCAAAGGCATTTTTTTTTCCTTTGAGAAAAGTACGATCCACTCAGAGGTGCTAAAATAAATCCCATATCTTTTTTTCATTATTTTCTGGAGCAGTGTTTGAATGACGGGAAAACCCTCAAGTGGAGAATTTGTTTTCACACACGTAGCAGCTTCAACTGCTGAGATCATGTTGCCTTGTTCAGCACTCATTCTAATCCACACTGAAAGGGGCACGGGAGTGTTGTTTGGTGGGAAGGGAGGTGCAGCTCTGGGCCTCGGGGGTCTTGGGAGTGATCCATTTCTGGGTGTCTGCTTTGTGTGTGGTCCCGTCATTCACTCTGTCACTCGCTCTGACTTGAGTTGGCTCTCCAGATCGATTTCGTTTTCTGCCACCATAGTGAAGATCAAAGAAAGATCAAGAGATACAGAGGAAGGAAGCAGAGAGAGGAAGAGCGAGAGCGAGAGAGAGAGAGAGAGAGAGAGAGAGAGAGAAATTAGCAAGCAAAGCAGAAACAGTTTATGCAGGAAATACAGAAATCACTCCACCAGAATTGATTAAGAATGCATAGTTTAGGTACAGCCAGTGTGAAGAACAGTTTGGGACTGTGGAATTTGTATCATTCTGAGAATTTGCAGAGTCATACATCCTGGCTCATGAGGATTATAAAAATCTGTCCCTGGAGGGAGCTTTGCATGCATCTGGTTCAAACCCTCACTTGACAGCATTCAGAATAGAACAGGACGTGTCCGGGGGTCACCACAGCAAGGTGGAGGCAGGGCCAGAACAACAACCCATAATTTCCAGCCTCTTTTCTAGCGCACATTTCTTTACCACCGAGTGCACACCTCGTCTGTTTCCAACCCTGTACCCCGCAATCCCTGGGGACTCTCAACTCCTCAGTCCTGTCTATGCCTTTGCCCTACGACCTAGCACAGTGCCTGGTACAGAGAGATACTCAATAAATACTTACTGAGTAAGAAAAGATGCTGGGTATGCCTGAATGGGAATTCTAATAGTCTTAATCCAGCCTATTTTGGGAGAATAGAGTAATAACAGGGAGAGAAACAATTTCGCTTTACTAAAAAATGACAGGGTGTTCTGTTGTATGCTAACACAAGTCAGGGAAAAATATTAATCAAGGAAACATTATTAATGTTTCCTACTTTCCAAAAACATGAATGAGAGAAACAAAACCTCTTCCCAGTAAGGGGATTGGGTTGGGGGAGGAGGAGTTTGCTGATCTTTTGCACGTTTCTGGCCCTCCATGGGTATAGTGTGTATATTAACCCAGTTAATCCCCAGACCAATCTTGAGGGCAGGAAACTGAGGCTAAAAGAGTCTGAATACATCAGTTAGGGACTCTCAGTTGGTAGAATCTGCATTTGAATCTAGAACTTCCTGACTCCAAAGTCTGATTCTGTCCCAGACACCCCATATCCTCCTTTACCTTCTCCTTCAACATGGCCCTTGCTTTGTTCTGCAGTGCTTTGCTTACAAGGCTTTCACGCAGCACTGCACCTAGAGCCTCAGACTGGGGGAGGTGGTGGCTGTGGCCACCAGCACTTGAGTTCCTCTGTGGCTGGCCCTTGTCTTTTCCATCTGACTTCCCCATGGAACTCTGCACAGGCATCCAGTCAACATTTTTTGAAACATTTTGTTAAAGCCATAAAATGACCCCTCTTTCCCCACAGTAGGCTCTGACTCCAGCCACATCATACGAAAGGAAAAATTAAGAACAAGCATATTTCACTTCAAAGTTCTGCCTAGGTTTGCCTTAAGGGAATGTCCCCCTTGGGACAATGGAAGGACATTTGTCTGCCTACTGAATCAAGGCCATGTAGGAGAAAGGGAGAGGACAGCGCTCCAGTTTGCATGAAATAATGAAAGGAAGATGGGTGGGACCAACTCCAATTCTAGATTTTTTGATTTTTTTTTTTTTGAGATGAAAGTCTTCCAAAACCTAAAATGCAATAAAATAAATAAATGGGGGGGCGGGGAAAAGAAAGTCTTGCTCTGTCACCCAGGCTGGAGCGAGTGCAATGGCACAATCTTGGCTCACTCCACCTCCCGGGTTCATGCAATTCTGCCTTAGCCCCCCGAGTAACTGGGATTACAGGTGTGCACCACCACACACAGCTAATTTTTATATTTTTAGTAGAGACAGGATTTCACCATGTTGGCCATGCTGGTCTGGAACTCGGGACCTCAAGTGATCCACCCACCTCTGCCTCCCACAGTGCTGGGATTACAGACATGAGCCACCGTGCCAGGCTCTAATTCTTGACCTCCCCTCTCCATTGTAAAGCAAATTCCCTCTTCTCTCTCCCTTCCTTCCCTGACTATTTCTGTCACTGTGCTGCCTCTCATCAATGTTGGCCATAGATAAGTTTCTAAAACTGTGGTCTTTATAAGTCTTTCATTGAAATCACCTAAGTGCTGAGGGGTGGTTGCAGGGGGTGGTGGTGAGGTGAAGTGGTTGGAAGCTTGTATTTTTACAAAGCTCAGTAGATGATTTATATAGACTACATTATTTTAAAACCAAGGGGCACATATTATAAAATATAAACCTAGTCCAAACTCCTTAATTTATAGTTGAGGCAAAGTGTCTTATTCACAGTCACAGAGTTGGTTAGGGGCAGGGCCAAGGCAAGAACTCTGGGTCCCAGGAGCCAGTGAAGAGCTGTATCCTCTGCTTCATGCAGGCCTGCTATGCTGACCCCACAGCCCTTCCCACACAGCCCTAAATCTTGAGCTGTCTCAGAAGACATAGGGGATATGGCTCATGGCCACGTGAAGACTAGCAAGGTCACTCAGCTCTGGGCACCAGCACCAAACTAGTTTCCTGAATTAGCAATTGCCAAAGCTGGTTTCAAGCCTGGACACACGCTATTCCTTTAGTAAGTCTGGCAACCCTTCTATTAGCCTGAAGTAAAATTGGTATTTAACAGAGTAAACTGGGGACCACAAGAAGTTTCTTTTGGGATCCTAATGTCTGATTGCCAAAAGGAGCATTGATACTCTTTTGTCCCTAACCCTTGTGTGTCTGTTAAATTCCTGCTCCCATCCCCCTCAGAGTGCTCCTGCCATGCTTTCACCCTTGCATGCTCTGCCCGTATCCCCCAGTGTTGGGGAGCTCAGTATCTTTATAATAACCCATTAGGCTTTCTTACTTTTACAGGTGGGAATCTTGTTACTCCACGTCCCATCCTTCAGACACTCAATCTGGAATGTGTCCATCTCCACATTATCCTGGAAAGAGACAGGAAGAAGGGAGTGGGAAGAAGGAGGTGGGGGTGGTGTCAGAGGTTGTTTCCTGGCAAAATCAACTCAAGTTCCACATATGCTTGTCCTCGATTGAGATTTTCCACCCAGGGGCCTCCAAAGGCAAGCTTGAAGGTAGGGGAAATATACATGCTGAGTTCATGTTCCCTTTTCATACTCCAGAGAGGGGCGAGGGCTGTGTGTAAGAAGGGTTTTGGGCAACTATGTATGAAGGGAAAGCTGCAGCATTGACTCCCTTTTCAGAGCAGTGGCTCTCAAGCTAGGGCAAGTGGTCAGCATATCCTAGAAGGCTTGCTAAAACACGGGCTGGGGGGCTTCTCCCCCAGAGTTTCTGATTCAGTGGGGCTGGCCTACCCCAGCATTTGCATTTCCAACAAGTCCCCTATGATGCTGAGACCAAGGACCCCTCTCTGAGAACTATTCCTTGAAATCAGTGGTCTTCTGGCTTGGCTGCACCAATCACTGGTCCCAGCCCCAAAAAGTCTGCTTTAACTAATCTCAAGTGAGAGCTGAGAGGTGATTTTTTTTTTTAAAGCTAACCATGTGATTCCTAGAACTACTGCTTCAGGCGGTGGGAGAATGAGGGGAACCCATCCGTTACTTTTTTTTTTTCCTGAGATGGAGTTTTGCTCTTGTCACCTAGGCTGGAGTGCAATGGTGCGATCTCAGCTCACTGCATCCTCCATTTCCTGGATTCAAGTGATTCTCCTGCCTCAGCCTCCCGAGTAGCTGGGATTACAGGTGCACCTAGCTATTTTTTGTATTTTTTAGTAGAGATGGGGTTTCGCCATATTGGCCAGGCTGGTCTCAAACTCCTGAGCTAAGGTGATCCACTTGCCTTGGCCTCCCAAACTGCTGGGAGCCACAACGCCCGGCCCCATCTACTACTTTTAAAATGTCTGCTTCCTTTTCTTGTATCCCATTCTACTCCACCCTATAAGCCCGGTGAACTTTGTTTACAGTTCTCAGCCTTGATTATAGAGCTGTATGAATCCATATTTTTATGTATTTATTTTTTTGAGACAGAGTCTCACTCTGTCACCAGGTTGGAGTGCAGTGGTGTGATCTCAGCTCACTGCAACCTCCACCTCCTGGGTTCAAGCAATTCTCCTGCCTCAGCCTCCTGAGTATGGGACTACAGGTGCACACCATGACACCTGGCTAATTTTTGTATTTTTAGCAGAGAAGGGGTTTCACCATGTTGGCCAGGATGGTCTCAATCTCTTGACCTTGTGATTCTGCCCACCTTGGCCTCCCAAAGTGATGGGATTACAGGCATGAGCCACTGCGCCTGGCCCATATTTTTAAAATTCAAACCAACTCATGCTCTGACTGGAGTGGGGGGGAACAAACTTTTGTGCCATTTTCAGAGTGTGAGAATGTCTGGGACACACGCTTTGGAATTTCCGGAACATTTGAGAAGTTGATGGGCAGCTAGGAAATTCTGTGCTGGAACTATGACCAGTGCTGGCAGCCCATCTGCACTGGGGAGGGTGCAGGTGGGGAGATTTTCTGTGGGCTAGTCACTCCCCTTTCCCAGGCAGGGCTCTGCACCTTCAGCACTTTGTAGCCTGTGTCACAGCTGACGAGCACTTGGTCTTTGAAGGAATACTTGGCTTGGGAGGGCTCGAGTTTCCCATGGACAGGAGGCCGCAGCTCGGGGCACTCATTTCCTGGTGGGGAGCAAATGAAAGAACAGCAGGTGAGAAAATGAGAAGTCTTGCCTTAAAGGGCCAGTCCCTAGAAAGCAAGGCCTGATGAAGGTGAATACAATATGAAACTGGGTATTGGAGGCGTGGATCTGCCAGGCCCTGCAAGAGACTAATTCTGGAACTGTGAATAGGACAGTTTCCAACTTGGACCACCATGTCCTTATTTGCAGAATGAAATGGTTGGCCAGATGATTTCATTAAAACTCAGGTTGGAAGGAATGTTAAACGTCATTAAATCCAATCCTTGTCTGATGCTTCTCTTACAATATCCTCTGCAGTAGACACCAAACATACTGCTCAGCTGGGAGCCCCACCAGGTCCAAACCTGCATCCCTCCTCCCTCAACCACCACCCCTGGGAGGGCTAAGCATGGCGGCTTAGGGACACAGTGACAGAGAGCTCAATGCCTCCCTAACCTGTACCTTTCAGTAATGGACTCTGCTAAGTACATGAACACTGTTTTCCTACTTAGCTGAAATTCACGCCCCTGTAATTTTTACTCATTTGTCTTCTTGGGCCATTAAGGATGACCCAAATTGCTCTTTCTTCCCAAGACCCTTCTTCAAAGCACTAGAGAGACTGTGATCATAGGCCTCTGAGTCCTCTCTTCGAAAGGCTAAATCTGACAGGCTCTTCAGGCCTGGGCCTATCCCTGACACTTTTTCAGAGACAAACTCTCCTTTGTTAATATTGTCTCTGCTCTCCTCAGTCTGAGCAGTGTATGTGATAATGCAGGCTGGGCCAGGGTTTCAGTCTATGAACTGAATTGGTCATGCCCAGATGAGATCTTTTGTCACTGATGTTCACCCTCTCCCTCCTTGAATTCCTACAGGCCAGTTCTGCAGGTCAGGTGGCTCGATCAAGGTTTGGGCCAGGACTGGCTGACTCGAGGGACAGGGGCATGAGACCCAGGGGCTTTGCTGATAGGGGGGCCCACAAGGAGACAAAGCACCATAATGAAACATTCTGGGCTCCAGGCCCATATCCAAATTCTAGCCCTAGATTTGGAGAAGGTTGGAGCTGAAATTGCCCTCCCCAAGTCTACTGAATCACTGTGAGGGGTAGAGTTCAGGAAACAAGATTTCTTTTTCTTTAATCTTTCTATGTGATACTGAAGTACATGTTTTGAAAGCCACCAGTCTTGTCCACCTGACATTATTGTTGCCCTTGCCCTCATTTTATACACGGAAAGCTGAGTCAGGAGAGATCACGTGCCTTGGTCCCCAGCTGTTCAACTGGGAGTTCCATCAGGTCCCCAGAGGAGATCCAAGCCTGCCCCCCTCCTCCCTCAGCCACTGCCTCTGCAAAGGCCAAGCACAGCAGCTCAGTGTGACCTGGGAGGGAAGAGGTTACCTGCAGCCCTGTATGAGAGCCTCCAGCCCCGGTTCTCGCCCGAGTTGTCGCTATGGAACAGGATCAGGACGCGGTGGCTCTGGGTGTTGATGGGTTCTGGGGCTTTCTCTCCACAGAATGGCCCCCAAACTTTTGGACCAACTTTGACCTGCAAAATATGAGAGAGATAAAGAGCGGGTTCCATCTGAGCAGCCAACATGGCCACTGCAGGCAGTACCTCGCCACTGCACTCTGGGTTTTCTGGAAACTTCCACATGAATCCTTGGTATTCACTTAGGTTTTTAATGAGCCTGACCAGTCACCAAATGCTTTCATCTCCACTCTCTCATTTATAGTTTACAATGGCTCTTGACGTGGACAAGGCAGGTTAATAATCTTCTGCTTAACTATTTATAATAGCAAAGGCATGAAACCAACTCAAATGTCCATCAGTGATAGACTAGCATTGATGTGGTACATACACACCATGGAATACTATGCAGCCGTAAAAGGATGAGTTCATGTTCTTTGCAGGGAGATGGATGAACCTGGAAGCCATCATTCTCAGTAAACTAATGCAGGAACGGAAAACCAAACACCACATGTCCTCACTCCAAAGTGGGAGTTGGACAATGAAAACACATGGACACAGGGAGGGGAACATCACATACTGAGGCCTGTCAGTGGGTGGGAAGCAAGCATCAGGACAAATACCTAATGCATGTGAGGCTTAAAACCTAGATGACAGGCAGGGTGTGGTGGCTCATGCCTGTAATCCAGCACTTTGGGAGGCCAAGATGGGATCACAAGGTCAAGAGATGGAGACCATCCTGGCCAACTTGGTGAAACCCTGTGTCTACTAAAAATACAAAAATTAGTCAGGTATAGTGGTGCACGCCTGTAATCCCAGCTACTCAAGAGGCTGAGGCAGGAGAATCGCTTGAACCTGGGAGGTGGAAGTTACAGCGAGCCCAGATCATGCCGCTGCACTCCAGCCTGGGTGACAGAGCGAGACTCAGTCTCAAAAAAACAAAAAAACCAAAAAACAACTAGATGATGGGTTGATGGGTGCGGCAAACCACCATGGCACATGTATACCTCTGTAACAAACCTGCACGTTCTGCACATGTATCCCAGAACTTAAAGTAAAATTAAAAAAAAAATCCTCTGCTTAGAGATGAACATATTGTGGCTCAGAGAAGGGCAGAGCACTGTCTGGTGCATAAAGCAGAGAAGATCTCAAAGAACCTTCAGTCTATAGTTGGGGGAGACTAACAATAAATAATAAACAAAAGAATTATAGGCTGTCATAAGGGTTATAAAAATAAGCAGGATGATATGCATATGTAATAGAAATATATGCCATATGTTTATAATTTATGTAGTAAAGTCTATGTAACCTATAGAAATAATCACTTTTGCTCTCCTTCCTTCCTTCCTTCCTTCCTTCCTTCCTTCCTTCCTTCCTTCCTTATTCCTTCCTTTCCTTCTTTATTTTCTTTCTTTTTCTTTTTTTCTCTTTCTTTCCTTCTTTCTTTCTCTTTATTTTTCTTTCTTTCTTTTTAAAACGGAGATTTCACTCTTGTTGCCCACGCTGGAGTGCAATAGTGCAATCTCAGCTCACTGCAACCTCTGCCTCCTGGGTTCAAATGATTCTCCTGCCTCAGCCTCCCGAGTAGCTGGGATTACAGGCATGCGTCACCACACCCAGCTAATTTTTGTATTTTAAGTAGAGACAGGGTTTCTCCATGTTGGTCAGGCTGGTCTCGAACTCCCAACCTCAGGTGATCCATCTGCCTCGCCCTCCCAGAGTGCTGGGATTACAGGCGTGAGCCATCGTGCCCAGCCAGAAGTAATCATTTCTATAATGGCAATATAATATATAACAATTTTAATTAGGTGATCCAGAAAGGCCTTTCTGAGGTAGTAGTGGGGATCTCAGATATGTAGGATGAGTATGAGCCTGTTTGAAGAGAAGGGAAGAACACTTTCTAGGTAGAGAAAACTGCAAATGTAAAATCAAGGCCAAAGGTGGGAAAGAGTTTGCCTAGTGTTAGGAACAGGCAGGAAGCCATGCTGGCTGGGCAGTGGGTGTGCCATGGCATGAGGCTGGAAAACAGAAAAAGGTTACACTGTGTTGACAAATTTAGGTTTAATTTCAAATACAAACTTGATTGAATCTAGCTTTTATAAAGATTACCCTCTATGCTGTGGGAGAATAGATTGTGTAGGGCAAGAGTGGAAGAAGAAAAAAAAAAAAAACAATTGGAAGTTTTGCAGTTGAGCAGGAGGCAGGTGGCAGGTGATGCGTTTGTGGGGGGTTGGGGACAGTGGAGGAGAGATGGCAATAGGCTCTATCATCTGATCCGGATTCCCCACCTCCCAGTCCTGGTTATTTTTTATGTCTTTAACCCACTTTTCTCCCATCTTCACCATGACTCCTTACCTATCGTTCGGTGACTTCTACAATCCCAAGTGACATCTTTGTCTTGTTGTCCTTATTGAGGAGAGGGGGAAACAAATGAAGCCCAAGAGGTTGCATGCTTGAGTGAGGCTCCCAGGTGTAGTTCCTGGGACACCTGGCAGAATTCTGGGGTGGCCCCCTTGACCTTCACTCCTGGTGTTACTTTGTGGTGATGTTATATTAAAGGCAAAAGGGATTTTGCAGATGTATTAAAGTTATTCATTAGCTGACCCAAAGTTAAGAAGAGTATCTGGATGGACTTAACCCAATCACATGAACCCATTCAACACAGTTTCCTCTGGCTGGCAGCAGTGGCAGAAGTCAGGGAGATTTGAAGTGTGACAGGAATTTGATGGAAGGGACTGTTTCTGATGACAAGGGGCAATGTGAAAGGATCTGAATGCAGCTTCTAGAGCTGAGAGCCACCACTGGCCAACAGCCAGGAAGAAGAGGGAGATTTTAGTGTTATATCTGGAAGGAACTGAATTCTGCCAACAACCTAAATGATCTATGAAGCTGATTCTTCTCCAGAGCCTCTAGATAAGAGCTCCACTAGCTAACACCTGGATTTCAGTTTCATGAGACCCTAAACAAAGAATCCCAATTATGCCCACCGGGACTTCTGAGCGACACAATGCTGGGATAAGAAATTGGGATTGTTTTAAGCTGTTATGTTTGTGGTAGTTTGCTAAAACAGCAAAATAGAAAACCCATGGTCTATACTTCCTGATACTCCACCTCCAGCCAAGCTGCTTCTTAGCCTCTGTATCCAAGTAGGGGACAGGTCAGGCTCTAGGTTCCAGAGTTTTCTTTTGTGTCCCCTCAGGCTTTTCTGCCTCTCTCACTGTTGACAGCTTTCTTTTTGGCAGTCTCATTTTCTGGCCCTTTCTGTCCTCTTTTGTGGGTTTCTCCGCCTCCATCTAGGTATCATAATTTATTGTGTTCTAGCTTCCATTTTTTTTTTTCTAGGACATCCTGCCATGTCCATGGTTTAAATCAGCACCTTGTTACACATTTGATGGCTCCCATCATTATCCCCAGCTCAGTGTCTCTTCTGAGATAGACCCTAATATTTAGCTCTACTTGGATGCTTTGACTGATCACTCTGTAAGAATCACTGGTTTTACTTTCCACATATCTTAAAAATATCTCCCCCATTATCCCAGCCATGGCTCAAATTCAGGCTGCCGTTGCATCTTAATTATAATATTGAAATAACCAGAAATTGAGTAGTTATTTGCCTGTGGTATTTCTTCCCTCTTTATTTGCCTTTCACATAGCCTCTTCCTGCAAGCAGGCCCAGCAGCAAAATTTGTGCGGTCTGGGGCAAAATGAAAATACGGAGCCCCTTATTTAAAATGAATTAAAAATTTCAAATTAAAAATTTGGTAATAGGTTAAAAAAATAAAGAGAAGAAAAACTAATTTCATATGTTTATTAAACCAAGCATGAGGCCCCTCTGAGCACAGGGCCCTATGCGACTGCATGGCATGGATGTCCACGGGGCTGGCAATGCCCACAAGAGACCTTTCTAAAATGCATATTTGCCAGGTGCGGTGGCTCACGCCTGTAATCCCAGCACTTTGGGAAGTCGAGGTGGGTGGATCATGAGGTCAGGAGTTCAAGACCAGCCTGGCCAAGATAGTGAAACCCTGTCTCTACTAAACATACAAAAATCTGCTGGGCATGTTGGCAGGTGCCTGGAATTCCAGCTATTCGGGAGGCTGAGGCAGATAACCCCTTGAACCTGGGAAGTGGAGGTTGTAGTATGCTGTAGTAAGCACTCCAGCCTGGGTGACAAAGTGAGAATCAGTCTCAAAATAATAATAATAGTAATTTAAAAAAATAAAATGCAGATTTTGACCCTACAGCTCTCCTCCTCAAGCCACCCTAGTGGCCAGGGTGATAGTTTCAGATCAGAGATCCCTGGAATAGATCTAACTAAGATGATAGGTGTTATTTTAAATAATGGCTTTTTGAGAAACTAGCTGCTTGGCTCTCTATCCTGGGAGAAGAAGGTGAAGGTTCCAGAATATCAATTTCCTCAACTCAGCGAAGATTTTCCAGCATCTCTAGGACAAGTGTTCATTACAGGCTCACCTTAATGTAGTCATAAGGGCAGGACACGTCAGGATGGTCTTCAATGTCAAAAATGTCCTCGAACTGCAGGCTGACCATGAAACCCTCTTCCAGCTTGATGGTATAGAGGCATTCAGAGCTCTTGGGGTAAGGGTTTGGGAAGTCAGGGCTGGTGATCACCCCAGTCCTTTGGGTGAAGAGGTTGTCACTGCACTCCACTGTTGGAAACACAGCAGAGAAAATGGCACATCGCAACCACGCCATAGCAAGCCTTGCTTATCTGTTACTATATGATATTCCCAGTGGTCCCAAGCAGTAGACAGGGAAGGTACTGGCATCTCCATTTTACAGATGGAAAAAATGAAGGGAAATGATTTATTAAAGGTTGCATGTTTAGTAATTTACAGAGTTGAGGCTCGATAACAGATTTTCTAATTGCCTCTCAGGGTTGTGTACCCTGTAATGATCCTTCTCATCAGATCCTCTGGAATACGGGTCAGGGAGAGGAATATGAGAGGGAAACGTTTAGAGATGGAGTGGTCAGGGGGATGTCTGGACCTCTGTGATCCTGCCGTCCCTCCACCCAGAACTTCAGGAGATCCCTCATCTCCCATAGGCCCTTCGCACACACCCTCACTTTCTAGCCCTTCTTTGTTTTGTTTTTATTTGTAGTGCTATTCACTCTGTTCAATTAAATGTAGCCCAAAGCTTCCTTCTTACTTATTTTATTTTATCGAGATAGGACCTCACTCTATCGCCTAGGTTGGAGTGCAGTGGTGCCGTCTCGACCCACTGCAACCTCCGCCTCCTGGGCTCAAGTCAATCCTTCCACCTCAGCTTCCTGAATATCTGGGAACACAGGCACGTGCCACCACACCCAGCTGATATTTGTAGTTTTTGTAGAGATAGGGTCTTGCTATGTTGCCCAGGCTGATTTCAAATTCCTAGACTCAAGTTATCCACCTGCCTTAGCCTCCCAAAGTGCTGACATTATAGGTGTGAGCCACCGTGCGTGGCCTCCTTATACGTTTTAAATTCAGCCTGAAGCGTTCTGCATACATGGTGAACTATAACCTAACTGGATTTTTAAATAGACTGTAAACTATTCTTTTACTGTAAACTAAAAATAAAATCCCAAGCCCTCCAGTGACCTAATGGGCCCCCCGTGGCAAAAGGATCTCCAGAAAAACCTTAAAATGGAATTTCTGGCCGTGATGGAATGGTAGGTTAGATACTCCTTGTATATCCTCTCTTCTTTGCAGTTTGGACACAACAATTGACCAGCATTAATGTTAAACCAGAGATCATGAGACTGAGAAAACAGGCCTCTTTTGGCAATAAAATACCAAATTATGAATTATGAAAGACCTAAGGCCATGCCAGGCAAGGGTTAAGCCATGTATCCCTGCACCGAAAGCATAAACTATGTTCTTACAGTGCAATGAAGTTTTTCTTTTTCTCCAGCAGCTAAACAACAAGCACTGGGCTTGAGATAAGTGACATGAAAATAATTTTCAGCTCCGCCAGATGCTGACTGACTGACTGCCTGCCACCGTGTTCCACCAACCATAACTATAGCTTTGAATGGACAAGAGACTGATTTCAGTCACTTTCTCCTGATAAGAGACTTCTGACCATGGATTGATTCTTGCCAGTTTACAGAAGCTGCACACTTGAATGCCTCCTGTCCTGAAAATATTTTTTGACCGTAATACATTTAATGTGAAGTCTCCATCCCAAAGTGAACATGGGTCATTTGTGACATGCATATTTGTTCAATATGTATGTGCCAGGACCACTCTCATGAATATTCATAGCTCCTCCTGTGGCCTGTTGAATATGAATGTTTAGCCAAACTGTTCAGCATGTAGCTCCTAACTCAACTCCTCCCCCTTTTAAGTGCCTGGTTCTGATCTTGGCTGGAGGCTGTGCTTCCCAGACTCTGAGGATGGCCACCTGCTGTAACCCTTTATAAGAAATAAAATCTCCTCTCTTTTTCTAAACTTACAGATTTGTAGTCTTGATTTTTAAGTCGACAGTATCAATCACAGAGTTTTGGCCAGTCACAGGTGGCCTTCTGTTCAAACTACGTTCAAACAAGGCAAATATAAGCTGTAAGTAATTTGGCTGTTTCTGTACCTGACTTCCACGTGATATACATCATTTTCCTTCTACTTCCCATAAACATTATCCAACATCTGCTGGAGCTGCTCTCCACATATTCTGGTGGTGGTGGGGTGGGTGGAGGGGATGATTCTCAAATGGTTCTTTGCTCAGGGAAACTCTGTTAAATTTAATTTGTCTAAATATTTTCTTTTAAAAACTCCCTAACTTTATGTTGATTTTCTTGCTCCCACTAGACTGTAAGTTCTATGAGTTCAGGAATTATGCTTTGTTCACCACTGCATTTACTGCAACCAGGAGTCCACTGTCCTGGGAAGCTAGGCATGACTTTAGCCCTGCTAAGGAAACTTTGTCACTGGGCCTTTACCCTTGGGCCAGCTCATCCTAGCTTTGAGGTGTTAATGTTTCTAAGCTCCTGTTCATTCTGCTTATTAGTGAATGAGAAAACTGTGGTTTAGAAAAAGGGGGTAGGACTAACTTAAGTTTCACAGCTGTGAGTTGCAGAACAAGGTTAAGATAGAAGTCTCCTGAGTTCCCATCTGTTTTCATTTTTTACCCCAAGCTTTCTCATGGGGGTGATCTTGCCCTCAAGAAAGCTAAAATTCCGTCTTGGTGGGGAAGGTCTTACTTTTTAAATGCACAACACACAGATGGATATACGGTACATAAACAGATATACGGTCTATCTGTGGAAAAATTTCATGGAACTATCAGGAAAATGATATTTAAAAAGGCTCCTCCTGGTGACGGGTGAAAATGAAGAAAATGAGTGAAAATGCTTGCTCCACCCTGAGCATTCTTGGCCCTGACTGTACTCAACACATAGTAGATACTAAATAAAAACTTGAGTGAATAAAAACAATAGAAAACATAATACTCTTTAAGAAAACTCTGCCTGTGCCTGTTCTTTTGATTTTTGATTGCTTTATACTGATATGTTCTATGGGGTTTTATTCAGAAGCAAATAGCAGCTTTAGAAGGAGGAAGAAAAAAAACTTTTGTCTCCAGACCTGCCCTCTTCCAAGTAAGATCTCAAGCATAGACGCTTATCCTGAACCACACTAATCTACTGGCTCTGCCCTGAAACACTGCAAGTTCTATCACACCGCTGACTGTTTGCAGAAGCTGTTCTCTCTGCCTGGAAGGCCCTTCTTCTCCTTACTCTGTCATCTCTGTCAAGGGTCACATCTCTGGGAAGTGTTTGCCTGTGCAGGTCTGACTGTGCTATGTCCCATACTTTCATTATATAAATGTAATGGGAACATTAACATTAAAATAGAGACCATAGGACAGTCCACCATTTGCTTACATGGCAATTACCCCACTTGCCCAAGAGCTCCTCCTAGAAAGTGGCTAAACCCCTGCATTTCTCCATCCCTCTGTAAGCACGAGACTACAGCATCGCCGGTGTGTTGATGAGAGATGAAAACAAAGATAGAGAGAAGGAATGGGAAGTTTTCTGGCTATCTCTGTTTGCCTCTTTCCTCTCTCTCTTCTTTCCTTTGGAGAGGTCTCTCTGTTGCAGAGGAAATTAGGGGCCATGGAAAATAAGAGAAAAGGAGTTGCTGGGTAAGGCATAGTTCATGGCTCAAAGAGAAAGAACTGGGAAACCCAGCTTTTCCCCTAAATTGACCAACCCAATTACCTACAATAGGAAAAAGCAACCTATATAGTAAAAATGCTGCTTGGAAAGAAAGATGGCCGGCCAGTCGCGGTAGCTCACGCCTGTAATCCCAGCACTTTGGGAACCTGAGGTTGAGAGTTTGAGACCAGCCTGACCAACATGGAGAAATCCCGTCTCTACTAAAGATACAAAATTAGTCAGGCGTGGTGGTGCATGCCTGTAATCCCAGCGACTCGGGAGGCTGAGGCAGGAGAATCACTTGAACCCGGGAGGCGGAGGAACAAAGATGGCCAAATAGTCTAGAGCTTCTCTCCTTTGATAAGCCAAGGTCAGGTTTCCAGATTGCTGGTGGGCATTTCTGCATCTTCATCCATGTGGTATCTGAGGTGCATCACTGACTTCATTTTTACCTGTTCCTACTGCATATCTGTCTTTCTCTGAGTCTCATCTAACATTATTAAGGATGTGGCATATAAGGGCAAGGCATAGCATCATTGGTCGGCTGTACCTCGGCAGGTCCTGTTGTCTGTGTGGAGGATGTAGCCAAAGCGGCAGGAGCAGTAGTAGCCACCAATGTAGTTGTGGCAGTAGTGGTCACAGGACAGCTCCTCGTCCTCCCTCTCCTTGCACTCGTCCACATCTGTAGGGAGGTGAAGCCTCTCCATCAACACATGCATGATGATGAAGACTACAGTCAGCATTTACAGAGCCCTTCATATGGGCCCCTCACTATGTTTCGAGGTTCATGCATTCTCTCATTGAATCCTCACATACAGCCCAGAGGTAGCCATTATCTTCACTTTACAAACTAGGAAGCTAGAACTCAGAGAGGTTAGGCAAGTTACCCAAGGTCACAAAGAGCCAAGTTGAAACCCAGGCAACCTGACTGCTGGCAGTACCACTATCCTCTCACAGTTATAATAATAACTCTGTGTGAGACAGCAACCTCAGGAGGCATGACACATTTGTTACTGCGCATTCTGTTATTATTCACATTCTATGGAGGATGAAATGGAGACATAGAGGCATTAGAGACCCTAGAGTCACACAGATAGTAAATGGCAGACCCAGGATTTAAATTCAGATAAACTGGCTACAGCTTGTGCTCTTAACTTCTACCTCATGCTATCTCTTCCTTTCTTTCTGCCCTGTACTAGGCATTTGAATTTACATTTCCCTAAAAGTGATAAATGAGTGGCCAAGAAGCACATGAAAAGATGTCTAACACTGCTGGTCATCAAGGGAATGCAATTTAAACCACAATGAAGTACAACTACATACTTATCAGAGTGGTTAAAATTTTAAAAAACTCACAACATCTAATGTTGGTGCAGATGTGGTGCAGCCAGGGCTCTCATACATTGGTGGACAGATAAAAAATGGTACACTTGCTTTGGAACAGGTCTGGCAATGTCTCATAAAACTAAACATACACCTCTCCTATGACACAGCAATTCTACTCTTATATATTTATCCAATAGAATTGAAAACATATGTTTGCAAAAAGACATGTACAAGAAGGTTCGTAAAAACTTTATTAGTGAGAGCCAAAAAATGGGTAGATTCCAGGTAGCCGTCAATGAGAGAATGAGTAAACATACTTTAGTATGTTCATACAATGGAAAATTACTCTGCTAGGAAAAGGAGCAAATTACTGATGCATGCAACACATGAATGAATCTCAAAAACATTATGCTGAGTAAAAGAATCCTCACCCCTGAAATATATTCTGTGTGTGTTCATTTAAATGAAGTTTTAGAAGAGGCAAGAACTAATCTGTAGCAGAAAAAATCAAAACAGTTGTTTCCTCTGAGGGAAGTGGGAACAGAGGTTGACTGGGCAGAGGCAAAAAGGAACCCTCTGGGCTGGTGGTTAAGTTCAATGTCTTGTTAGAGGTTTGGGCTACACACAAATATAGATTTTTCAAAATTCAACAAATGTATACATGAGTTTTGTGCTTTTAATTGTATGTCAATTTTACACTAAAAGAAAAAATACTGTGAACAAATATTGAACTCTAGCAAAATAATATGCATGCTGAATTATTTAGAAAGAAGTGTACTGATGTCTGCAATTTCCTTTAAAACACCTTGTGAAAGATGAGTTGCTGGATGGATAGAGGATAGATAGATGGATAGACACGTGATAGAGCAAATGCAGTAAGACATTAATGGTAGACTCTATGTGGTGCATATACAGATTTTCAATGTAAAGGAGAAGGCACATGGCAGTTTTCACCTTCAGAGAGAGAGAGAGAGAGACCTGAGGGTGAACCAGTTCTCCAACTTACCCACAGCCATGTAGTGGGCATCAAAGCCTGTGAATCGCTCCTCATTGGAGAAATCTGACCGGAAAGTGATGGACATGAAGGAACCAGGAGAGAGGACCACCTCCTTGCCGGGAGTCTGCTCTGTGTCTGTGGTCTCCCTGCCACAGAACGTTGCCAACACCTGGTCTTCAGTTTCTACCTTTGAAGTCAAAGAGAAAGGGAACAAGATGAGCAGTTTCTCAGTTTGATAAGCTTCTCATCAGTTAAGTTTCTTTCCTGATCTTCAGAAAGAAAAGGAAGGGGCCACCCAAGGGTAGGCTACTCAGCCTGAGAAACCCAAAGAAAGGAGATTAGAGATTCTGAAACTTGAGAAAACAAGCATTACAGGTTAAGTCAATGTGAACATCTGATCAGTTTCATTCATCTTATTTTGTTCCATTAGATGTAACTTGACATTTGTTCTTCCTGTCAATAACCAAGTGACTTATTTATTAAAAATAACTCAATGTGAAAGTTTTAAAAAGTTAGATAACCTTGCAGGCAGATTCTATGTGCAACAGGAACTTACCACATTTCCAAAGAATGGAAACTGTATATACAAGTCATTCATTGAGTATCCAGTATGTGCCTACTGCTGAGCAAAGCATGAGATGGGGGTGACGAGAGATGAGCCGGACACAGCGCTGGGCACAGGACAGCAGTGTTGAGATTGAGGAACACAACACAAGCAGGTATTATACAGTGTGACAAGTGCATTCATACAAGCAGAAGCACTTCATAAACACTCAAAGCAGGCGAGCAATCCCCATTAGAACATAAGCTACAGGAGAGAAGAACTTTATTTTTTTTTATAGATGTGTCTTCAGTGCACGGAATAGGACCTGGCACATAGTAGTTATCCAATAAACATTTGTTTATAAGAACTGAAAGTACAAGCCTCATTCCATGAACAGTGAGTAGCCAGGGAGTCTGTGGGGATTGCAGGAGGAGATGTACTTGGAAGGATACGTGGAAAGTAAATTATGGTTGACCTTGAATGCCATTAATTCTGTAAGTAGAAGACACTGAAAAGTTTTAAGCAGGAAAGTCATGTAACAAAAACTAACGTTTAATAGGCAGTCTTAATATAGTAACTATTTATTGGAATCATCCAAAAATAGTTTGAGTGTGTATCTCTGTGTGTACACGTTTGTGTTAAGGCTTGGATGCAAAAAGAAAAAAAATGCCTGTTTGCTAAAAGAATTTCATTCTTTGGAAGAATCAGAGGCCCTGTGCAAATTTAGAGATCCAAGCGGAGATGCTAAACTGGTGGCCTAAAGCTGATTTCATGTGAGACAGGAGCTTTGGAAGCTTTGTATAATAGCTGGTTGGTATATTTATTGAAGTATGAGTTCTTGACGTATCTACTCTGTTATCGTATACCTAACCCAATCCTTAAGTTTTATTTGTGTTTGCAATCTCTGGACTGATATTTTAGCCAAGATGCATGAAAAAAATCTCTTACCAAGAATGATTCCTTCTGCCTTTCAAAATCATTAAAGAAACGTTCTCAAAGGCCGCCTATCTCTAGTAGCTTCTAATGAATTCATTGTTTTGTTCATTAGCTTAGCATGTCAGAAATATCTTGACATTTGACACTTCTGTTTTGAAACTAATGGTTTATTTATTTAAAATAAGTGGGAGTTTTAAAGAAAAACAATTTGCCCTGGCAACAAAACACAAGTACAATTAATCACTAACTTTGGGAACTGAAGTGTAAACAGAAGATGAGATCATGGCTTTGCTATTTATTCCTCTTCTCTGCGGATACCAGCTGAACTCACACCAGTCTTGTTACTGTAGAGTGTGCCTATCTGCACACAGCTGAAATGTCACTTCCTTGAACCTCCCAGCTGTTGTGTTATTTGTCTGACTCAGTTTTCCAGGTAGCCAAAGGTTTACCTAACTATAATTAAAAGTTTTCTTTTTTGGTGTAACACTTTTTTTTTTTTTTTTTTTAAAAGTAAAGAAGTACTTACTTTCTCAAATGAAACATGCTAACCCTTTCTTGGTGATCCAGGCACATTGTTATGAATGTCAACCATTGTGATACTACATGAAAGTGATAATCTTGGGAATATTGAGCTGTGTAATGTTGCTTGACCGGTGTTAAACATTGCCAGACTATAAAGCCTTGAAATTCTTGAAGTCTTCATTACACAGTGTTTTATTTCCTGTCTTTTTATCAGCCTATTAACTATACTTTCCTGTCTGCTTATTTTTAATATGTTGTGAATTAGAAACCAGTTAAACTTCTCTTGCTAGAACTTAATAAAAAAAAGGCTAAGTAGATTTGGAATGAAGGCCTGGGAAAGGGATTCTTCTGTGAGTAACTGCATGAACTAGAGTACACCATCTTGGTGACCTCTGCTTTGAAGTAATATGATATATAGGAACCTGGCAGTCGGAGGTTTTGGGTCCTGTTCCTGACTCTGCCGTATGCTGCATTTTGGTTCATCTCCTTTCTAGTTCTCAGTTGTATACCTGTAGAAACAGGGGTTTGAACTAGCTGAGCTCTAGATTCCTTTCCAATTCTGACATGGTAATCATCATAGTCTAACGTAGTTCTAAGAAATCATCACACTCATATATTATATAAACCAACCAGAAGATGGTAAGCAAGAGTTTTAACACACGGATTACTGCCTGCTGATAAACTTGAACTTGCTAATAATGAATAGTCATGCATTAGGCATTAACAGCTCCACCTATACAGTCTTCTTTCTGTAACTTGGCATCCCCAAAGCCTCTTGGGTTCTACAGTGACTGGGACATGGACATTTTCAAGGGAACACACTGGTCATTTGAATTAGGGAGATACTATTAGGGTTTGTGATAAACAGCCTCCCTCCTTGTAACATCTGGGCTGAAGGACCTTTACATAATGGCAAATAAATGGTCATCATCTGCAGAGCCATAGTATCCCAGAGAACAGGAAGCATGCCCTAGCTGAGGCCCATTGAAAAAATCTGAGCCATACATCCTTTCAGAAGCAGAGAAGAGAAGGCCAGTAGCCTGGGGCCCTGGGAATTCAGCCTGCAGCTCAGAATAGCCTCCTGAAATATCAGAGCTGGGCAAGACCTTTATGAGCTATTTTAATCTGTCTCCTTCTATGGGAAACAGAGGTCAAGAGAGGGGAAGTGACTTGCCCAAGGGTGGAGAGATAACATGCACATTTTCTGATATCAATTCTCCTTTGGGAACTATTCTGAGATGAGAGAAAAGAACCCACCAACCCAGAGAGTACATGACTTATGACACAGACACTTAGCCAAACAACTTTCCTGACTCAAAGGCGTCTTGAAACCTTATCTCGGGTGCATGGACCGTCTCTTAGAGAGGATGTGGCTCAGTGATAGCTCCAGTCATAACCTAAACAGAAGGGTCACTGGCACTGGTTAATATTTGCATCCTCTGCTATGTGGTATGGAGTTCTATAAAGATCATTTACCTCTGAGTATAGAGGGATTGAGACCTAGCTTCTATCTGGACTGTCCCATCTTGGAGGTCATCACGTCAATATGATGGAGGGAGCTTATGAAGTGAAGACAAAACATTCATAATAATAGAGACCCATGTGGCTGAGAGTCATAAATTCTTCATTTTTCTATTTCTCCTTGTGGACAACTATGTCGTTACAGACTATTGTTATTTAGGACACCAACATGTGGCTGCATGTCCTCAATTTGTTTTCTTTCAATTCTATTTGCTAAATATGTGTGTGCTAAGTTCTGTCTACACTTTAATGTGAAGGATACAAAAAGTTATTTATTTGAGCTCAATAAGCAAGTTCTCTGCCTCCAGGAATGTGACATTTAGTAGAAGAATAAGATAAGCACTCAAAGGTATAAGTGTTAGGGTATTGTCAGGGTATGGTAAGTGCAATGAAAGATGGGCTGCCCTGGAGGTTGAAGGAATGGAAAAGATTGCATCCAGCCAAAGGGAATCAGAAAACATTTGGGAAGAAGAAAACAATCTTTGAACTGAAGACTAAAACATGAATAGGATTTAGGCAGGTAGAAATCATGGATGAAGGGTAGGAGGGTGCATAGAGTAGGTAGGCAGAGGAAATAGTGAAGGCCTGGGATATTCAAGTCCCAATTGCTCCTCCCCATTACCCATTACCTGGCATTAGAAAGGGGGTCTTTCTGATGGAGGATAGAGAGCTGGGAAGGCAGATCTAAAAAAAAGAAGCCAAGAGGCTTTGGTTTCCATGAGTTTTCTACCTCAGCAGGAATAGCACAAACCTCTTAGGCAAAACTAGGGGAGTGCAGCAGGGGTTGGGCAAATTTCTGTGGAAGGACAGCTACTCTATAAAAGGACAGCTACTCTCGCTATGTATGGCTGCTCTCTGCATGTCCATAAATTCATTGCATCAGCTTAACAAATGCATTGACGGCTACCGACTGGCTCCTCAAAGCAATGTATGGAGAAAGCAGTCCAGGAGGGATTGCTTTCCTTTTATAGATGAGGAAATTGAAGCCCAGATAATTTGAACAAATCGGGCAAGGTGACTGGTTAATCTAGTAAGTGGTGAAAGAATCTCATAATTGAATCTAGTGACGGGTGGATCCAGGTCCATAATTGTAGCATCCTGATTCTGTAGCCAGTGATCCTTTAAGACATTAGGCAAATAAACAAAGGGTGTCTTATAACCCAAATGCCTTATGGCTTTGTTTACCAATGTTCCCAAGCTATCTCCTGGAGCTTTCCTGAAATCTGCTCAGGGCCCTTGAGGAGCATTTCAGACTTATTTTAGGCAGACATTTAGAGGGTATGTTGGATTACCCTGTTGCCAGTTTAGTTAATCTGGGAGGTGCATTCCCCAGACTCTTTCTCTGTATAATTCCAGATTAGAGTTGTCCAGATTAGAGTTTGTGCAAGTTTGAAAGGCAATAGGCGTTACTCACTGAAGGTTGTTTTGTAATCACATACAGAGAAATAAAGGTGTAGATGTGTCCAATACATCCTCATTTGTTCTCACGTTCCTCTACTCTGCACCCAGCTCTTCTTTATAACTACTGGCTCTGAGGACCAACGGCGGCCCACCCCATCACCAAATGCTTGCAGGTGAACCCACAGAGGTGGTGGCTGCTTATAACCAACAGCTTTTCAGAGACCTCTTTCCATGAGCCTCCCCTTCATGGTTGTACTTTGGTC